TTGTAGTGTTCTTTTTTTTTTTTTTTTTTTTTTTTTCCCCACTAACGATAAGGGTGCTCGTATCATCGTATGGCCCTACGGGGACGGGGTGGTAAATGGGGGAGGCCGCCGCTGGTCCCTAAGGGCCGCAAGGGGTGCAAGTTGTGTCCGTGCAACAGCGGAAGGTACTTGAAGGAGGTACTTTGTAGTCTGTTCTTTTTTTTTCTTTTTTTTGTTTTTTGGAAAATAATGTAAATGGTCTGTTTTTCTATCTTTTTTTGCCCGAGTAATGAGAGGACATGCTCATATGGGCCATGATATGACCCTACGGCCCTACGGGGATGGGTTGGTACATGGGGGGTGGGTGCCGGCAGCGCCACGGCCCGCAGGTCCTTAAGGGCCGCAAGGGGTGCGAAAGCAGGAGGAAGTACTTTGTACTAACTTACCAAGTTTGTAGTGTTCCTTCTTTTTTTTTTTTTGCGGTCAAGAATGTAAATGGTTTTTAATTTTTTTTTTCTGTTTTTCTTTTCTTTTTTCAACTAATGACTAGACATGCTCGTATTGTCGTGTGGCCGTACGGCCCCACGAGGATGGGTTGGTGAATGGGGGCAGGGGTGGTGTATGGGTGGTGTAACACTGTAACCAGGGGCCAACGGCTCGGTTTTGTATGGGTTGTGCTTCATCATCGATTCATTTATTCGAAGCCACTGCTGTCTATAGTGACGCAAGTGCGCTTCGCGACTCTTTGTTGTCACACGCTGCGGTTGTGACATCATGACGCGGAACACTGGCAAGGAGCAGGTGGCCCCCGATCAGGCCGCGACAACAAGTGAGAGTGGTACAAGAAAGGGACACAACTCGAAGACTTTCGACTCTCCATTCAAGATTGATGCTGGTGTGGATGCCAAACGCGATGACCCTATGTGGCATTTTGTTGCACGTGGCCGATACTTGTACCCGGAGACGGCGGTGGAGAGGAAGAGTGGTCGACGATGTGTCTACAGATTGTGCGGGAAATCCATTTGTGGGGGCAGTAGAGAAGCGAAGGAACATTTCATCAAAAGCAAGGAGTTCAGATGCCCGGCGGGGACCCCTGCTGTGTATTATACCATATGGACAAGTGCCCGAAGGACTTTGTTGTCTCGATTGAGGAGTTGAAGAGGCTCCCTCCTGGCGCTCCGGCATTCCAGTGGCCGACACTTTTATTCCCAGAGGACTCGGAGCCTCGCCGGTCGCTTGCTAGTGAGGCAGGGCCRTCTCGCGGTGCAGTTGGTGCACCGGTTCTGGCACCTGTGGCGGGAGGACCGTCGGCCGGTGCAGTCCCACCGCCGGTACTTGGAGGGACCGCGGTGCCGTCGGCAGAGGCAACGAGACCGCCACCTGCGTCGCTCGAGGGCCACCGTGTCTCTCCATCGGTTGGATTGCATCCTATGTTCACGACTACCGTGGCCAGAGCATCAGCTGCAGCAGGAGCTCCTCTTGTGGGTGACCGAGGCACAGCTGCGGCAGCCACGGCTCGGTGGTCTCCACCTCGACCTCCACGTTCAGCTCCATCTTTGGCAGCGGCTGACTTGTGGGCGCCACAGCGCACAGGCGCGGTACCTACGTCGCGGTGGTCTCCTCCTCGTCCTCTGCATTCAGCTGCCCCTCAGTCGCACCCACCACCGCACCAAGACATGCAGGGGATTGCGGCTCACACGCATCCACCATCGACTCGGGCGGCAGAGGGCGCGGGTCCGCCCCCACCAATTCCACTATCTGATTCTTCGCCCACGCCTGCTGCCGAGATTGCCCCCACATTCGCTGGTGTGGTCGCAGGGGATTTGGATCCTATGGAGCGGCTACGCAACATTCCACTTCCACAGGCCGCCACACTGGCGAGTCCAGCTGGTTTGTTTGACATGAGTGCCTCTGGTACGGTCGCACGAGGGAGGGGCACATACAAGCAGTAGGCGGTCACCTCGTATTATTCTGACCCTAGAGAGCGTGCATGACACATGACGATCATGCGGTTCATCGTGGAGAGTGGCATGCCATTTAACTGCATGAAGCTTGAGAGCTTCAGACGGATGTTCACAATCATCATCCCTCCTGGGGTCCCCGGGGCTCCCGTGCCTAAACCCCCGACTTATCACATGGTTCGAACGACGTTGTTGGACGAGCTGGATTCAGAGGTGCAGTCGTGTGTGAGACCAGTGCTCGATACCGCGCGTCAGAGTGGTTGCACTATTATGACGGATGGTTGGACAAACATCCGTGGTCAGACATTGTGCAATACCTTGTCGGTACAGAGAGGGGACCCGCATATCTTGCCACTGATGTTATGCGGGGGAGGAAGGACGCGCCAACATTGGCGAAGGCATGGTTGCACAGGCTGAAGACCCTCGATATCCAGCTCAGCGACATCACGGCGTTTGTCACGGATTCTGCAGGTGTGAACGTGTCCGCCATGCAGATATTCGAGGAGGACGAAAGCGTCAAACATATTTTTTGGATTCCGTGTGTGGCACATGTTATGGACCTCATCTTGGAGGACATTGGGTTGATTGGATGGGTGGCATCATGCATTGCTCAGGCGTGACTCGTCACGAAGTTCTTCAAGCGCCACAGTCACGCACACGAGGCTTTGGAGAAGAAGACGAAGCTGAAGTTGTTGCTGCCCGCAGAGACTCGTTTCGGCACCAATGTCATCATGATCAGGGGATTGTTGGATCTGCAGACCCATCTCATGCAGGTCGTTACCGAGGACCCGTGACGCGACACTGTTTGGGCCACGCGGAAGGTCGGTCAGGATGCCGCCGAGATCACAGCATGTGTGGGGTCTCCTCCATGGTGGGAGGATTTGAGGCGTTTGTGTAATATCATGGACCCGGTCATGGAGATGCTGCASATGCTGGACAGTGACACACGRCAGATCAGCAAGGTCCTRYGTCGGTATGAGATTATGATCGCATCCTGTCTTACCGCGTGCGACTCCCTCACCGCGACAGAGCAGGATGAGATCCTTGAGGTTTTCGACAGGCGGCGTACCATGTTCCGTACTTCAGTGCACATAGCGGCCATGATGCTTGATCCTGAGTTTCGGGATGCCACCCTGCCGGATGACGATGTGATGCAGCAGGGGTTGATTGCCGCTTTGGTTCAGTTTGGCTACCCCGAGGGACCTCCACAGCACATCGAGGTGCTCACCGCGATCGACAAGTTTCATGCCAGGAAGAGGCCTTTTGACAATGCCACGATGGATAGAGCGATGAGGAGCTATGAGCACCCATCCAGTTTTTGGGAGTCGAAGTCGCGCAGGTTTCCACACACCGCATACTTTGCCATGAGGATCCTGCGCGTTTGGACAACAGCGTCGCCCTGTGAGAGAGCTTGGTCCCGTTGGAGTTTCATCCACTCGAAGACTCGCAACAGGTTGAGGTTGGACGGGCTGAGAAGCTCGTGCGGTGCCATTGGAACCTCCGTCTTCTCGACCGTCCATCTCTGACCGAGGATGCTCCTCACGACAGACCCGATCAATTCGGGAAGTGGGTTCACTATTGGCAGCATTTGGAGGACGAGTTGCCCACTGACCAGCAGCTTGTTGCGGGGAGTGGAGTGAGATTGGCAGCCACACAGGAGGAGATGCGTGTGGCGAGGGAGCGGATGCGCAATGTTTCTCGCATGGGCACCGAGCGCCGCCTTGTCCAATTGGACAAGAGACGACGTAGACGTGTTCGGGGTCATGACGGGCGTGGTGGGCGTGGGGGGCGTTCTGGTCATGGACGAGGTGGGTGTGGGGGACGTGGACGTGGATCAGCGGGCGGGATATGTCCTCGTAGTGCGCAACCTGGGCTGCGTGATGAGGCGATGGTCGACCTTATTCGTTTCCCTCGACAGCATTGGGACGAGGGTGATTTTTTGTATCACAGCTCCGATAGCGACGACGAGGATTTCTTTTGTACCGCCATGCTGCGAGGCGGAGACGACGACGGCAGGCCGGACGACGACCGTCCGGATGATGATGATAGTGATGATGGAGCGGGCGACGATCGGGACCCTCGATCGTTGAGACGGGGTGGTGGCACTGGTGGGAGAGGTGTTGTTGCACCAGGAGATGCAGCACGTGATGGCGGAGGATTAGACGTCGTCGACGGTGGAGGGGGCTCAGGCGGGCCACAGGCCGAGGATACCGGAGCAGCGCTGGAGCGTACACGTGTGGATGTGGCTATGGACGCCGAGCAGCATGCGGGAGTGGACGTTGTCGACGGCGGAGGCAGCAGGGATGGACAGGCCAGTCCCCCGCATGGCTCGAGACCTCACCTCGTACGATTGCGGCATGGGCCGAAGAGGACACAGTCGATTGCCGATCGTGTGCGGCACCGCCACGGGACCCTCCCCCCCACCGTTCGTCCACGAGCCGTTGAGTCTGAGCTTGTCCCCGTTTCCGAGGACTCCATGAGTGATGGGCCCGTCGATAAGCGACACCCGTCACCCCTGCATTCCTGCGTCATGATGGGACTGATGATTTGAGAGAGAGGCAGACAGTCACAGACATAGGGGGAGTGACAGGGGGGGGGGTAGGTGATGGATTTGATGGTGGAGGCGGGGAGGAGGGTGGGCTTGGGAGTGAGAGAGAGAGAGAGTAGTCTTCTACATGGGCATATCTATTTTTATTGGGCCCATTGTATTTTAGTTGTGTTTGAGAGAGAGAGTAGTCTCCTACACGGGCGTCGTCAGACTCGTCAGTGTCGTCACCATCGAGCCTTCGGCGTGGAGTTTAAACCGTTGTATTTTTGTTGTGTTTGAGGTTCATATGCTCGCTCAATGTACTCTCTATGTTCGGGTTGCGGCCTTAGAGGAGTACCATTGTAGCCTTGTAGGAAGTTGTAGCCTTGTAGGCACTATATTTTTCTTGTGTTTGAGGTTCATATGCTCACTGCCTGTACTCTCTATGTTCGGGTAGCACTCTGTATGTTGTAGCCTGTAGGATACTTCATGGATAATGGTTTTTGGAACTTTGTGCACTGTCGCTCGCATTGTTCCATCTTGTCTCATTTGGATTCTCATTGTATGCAGTTTCATTGCCTACTATTCAGTACATTTGTTCTTGTTGAAATCACATCATGAATTGTTGTCGACTTTGTTTGATGTTAGTAACAGCAGCAAGTGACAGCAGCTGTCAGCAGGGAACCTATTGATGCGGAAACTGCGGTGGTATGACCGTATGAGTCCGTATGACTCTTGCACATGTTTGGTGTTAGTGAGAATGAAGAACCTATTGATTCTTGACACTGTTTGTCAGTAAATCACTATGTTCTATTGTACAAACTACTATTAAGTGTAGTAATTAGTAATTACTGTAGTAAGAGTGTGTATGACTAATAATGGTGTGCAAATAATGGTGATTATTGATCTATAATTATTGATGTTATGATTTTTTGATTTTTTTTTTTTTTTTTTTTGCTTTCATTCTCTGTATTTTGCATTAGTAGCAGGCTAGCAGCATTACATCTGTGTGTAACTTAAACGCAGTTTAAGTAACCATGCATTATGAACCTCCGGGGGCCGCCGGCCTCCGGGCCACAGTCCCCTGGCTCCTGCCCCCAACCGTAGGCCTTGCGCGCGGCATGCAAAAAAAGAAAAGTAGGTGGTTTGTGAACTTCCACCACCAGCCCCCGGCCCTCGGTCCCCCGGCTCCGGCCCCCAACCGCAGGCCGCACACCCAACAGGGTCCAAGGCCTTAGGCCACCAACAGGTCCAGCATGCCCCGCCACACGGCCCACACCCGTCCGCCAACTTGCACCGTCCCCCAGCTCTCAATTGGCCACACCGATCGTGCCGCGCCACAGCAGGCCTGCACTGCCTCAACTCCCCCCCACACACACACCGTTCGTGCCGCGCCACAACAACCCTGCACTGCCTCAACACCCCCTCCTCCCCCCCTCCCCCCGCCGCCCACCTCCCCCCAACCCCCCCCTGTCCAGAGGGCCCTTGCGACTCTTGTGAGGCTTGCCCTGACCGATCCACGCACCCCTCCGCCACCCTCCGGGCGTCCATGGAATTCGCGGCCGTACCCCAAGTCCCCAGCGGCCTAGCCCACCCGAACCCCAACCCCGACCCACGGCGCGCCCGTCCCCGGTGCCCCGCCACAGCAGACCCCCGGCCCCGACTCCCGGCACCAGACAAAAGGACACCGGCCCC